TAAACAAAATTCAATTACCTCAATAATTCCATGAATGTTGGACAACCATCGCAAATATCAAGAATTACTTTAGTAACTGTAATCTATTTCTGGGTTGCGAAATTAGATTTATGGAAATTACGTAAACTTTAGTATAATTTGAAAGCTTCTAAATTTGTGACGTTACAACTTTCACAGAAATCTTCAATTGCATAAAAAGAGATTACCGAGTTCAGTTTCAACATGTAAGTAGACATTAAAATTCATAATATTATCCAATTTCAAATACGACGTAAAATAAAAGTTTCAGAAACTTAAGTCTGTGATTGTCTTAATAATTTAATGATGTTATTATTGTATAATTAAGAAGAGGAATTCAATTATACTAATGACAAGGGGGTTATTTTGTACGACTTAGTCTACCTTTTGAGAATACAAAGTATTTTTTATCTTGAAAATGGCATCAAGAAATTGTAACAGCAAAGATCTTATTGGAATAACTTTCGTACCTGTAATACCTAACTTAATATACCCAAAGGAACTAAAGGCGAGTCACAGGAGTAGTGGGAATAACTGTTTTTCTACTTCAAATGATTTAGATCTTTACTATTAAATAACGGTCTCACAAAACAATATGATACACCTAAGGATATTTTCTAAAGAATGTGCTAATGTGTTACACGATACGATGTACTTTATCCAATCATATAAAATCCAGAAAACCGGTTTGATTTAAGAATGAAATAACTAACTTTGTACATAATTGTTTTAAGGAGATATTTCTCTTTACATTCTACAGAGAACCTGCTAAATTTTGGTTTTTTAACTGAAGCCCTATTAGTTGTTAAATTCACATTTATCCCTGAATTTGCAAGCTGCCCGCCAGTTTTACGACACGCCCAGCCGCCCGTTGCCCCGTCAGTCGCCATCGGGCACTTGCCGACTTTTCTGTGTCAAATTCCGCTCTGCCGCCTCCTCCACCTGTCCGCCGCCACTCCGCCTGTTCTTGTTTTATTAATATTAATTTACAACACGCGCATTGCGGGACGTGAGGGGCGACCCCCTACACCTCATCCCCTAATATCTAGGCTCACGTGGAAATCCTTGCCTCTATAGCAAACAACTGCGACGAAGGGTAGTGCTCTGATCAACGCCTTGAGATCTAACTAAACTTAAGCATATTTCTAGTTGAATTTACTTAATAAATGCCTAGAACAAGCGAGATTTTCCCTCTCGCGTTACACATTTTACATAATATTAAATGAAGATTAACAAGGTGATAGTTCCCGAAATTTTATTACTTTGCTTTGTTTTTGATCGTCTCGCAAATTATTCAACTAACAGCGCACGACACGATATAGTGTCAATGGCAAGATTTTGTATGTTTGGTATTCTGCTATAACCTACGTGACTTTTCAGTGGCTAGTGTATATAACCAGAAATAGAGACGAAATAAAGGCCATCCATTGGCATCCCCGGCAATTCATTGGGCAAAAGGGACAAAAAAAATATCACTTTTAAATATCAATTCCCATATGCGCTGAAATCACAAATTAGAAAACTGAAATAGTACAGCGCCAACAACTGACCTGTGTGTACGTCTCCGTATATTCCAAAAATATTGTGTATTTATTCTAATAAAGATAATATCTCTAACTATGGAGGGCTGTTCCATTCGGTGGTGTGGGAAAAGCAGCAAAACATCTAATTACAAAACAAACGGAATCACATTTCACCGGTAATTAAATAAGTACTTTTTGCAATTTTCGTCCATTATAGTAAAGCTCTAGTTAAACTGGTCGATTTGAAGTGGAAACAATTGACGACAGCCGTCAATAATTGTTTCTAATTCGGGCTGGCCAATCGAAGCGTCGTTATCATCGTAATGATTTCGCAAAGTAGTTTCCAAACAAATTACACGATATTTCGTCTCTATTTCTGGTTATAAATAGTCATCGTAAGTAAGAAGCCAGCCATAAATGAGTTACGATTCAACTGCCATTGTAGTTTTTGATATTCTGCTCTTCAATGGTCAGGTCGATGGTTGGTCGCCGATGGCGTAGGCTACTAATTACTTGATGTTTGTTTAGAAAGTCTGTCGAATTTTATTTTGTAATAATCCCAGTACTAAAAAAGACCGATTTCAAAAGTACGTGGAATTATATCTATTTGCCAAGTTTTATTGGAACCGGTTACCGGAAAGTGTGCGAAACCGGATTCATCCTCTAATTTTCCACTCGTAGAGGTGGAATTTTTTTTTTTTAATTTAAATGGGACCACTACTGAAGTACCCCCCTTTCGAATAAAAAAGAATCACCAAAATCGGTTCACAAATATGAAAATATTCGCGTATGCAGTCAAATTGAGAACCTCCTCCTTTTTTGAACACGGTTAAAAATACATTTAATTTGAAGACTAAGTTGCTGATTAAATGAGATAAAAATTAAGAAATTGATTACAATTTCCATGGTAAGTAAGGCAACATCGATCGTTAGTCATTGACTGAATGAATGCCATCACTCATCCTTGTCGTTCCACTGACTCTATTGAGGCTCAACCGCCATTACAACTAGATTTTAGCAGAATAACAAATAGTGTCATAATTGAAATATATAATTCTAATAAAAATAATAAGTAATATAATTAGCAGACTTGGGACCCTGGTCGCCGTCAAGTTATAAAGGGATATGAGGCCATAGTGAACCGTGTTATAGCAATATTAAGTCAGCAAAATACATTTTCACCTCAATGGCTCGGAAAGGTTTTCTTTCTCATTAGAAATCTGCACGCAAAGTGTTTTCACGCTAGCGTGGAAAAGGTTTTTGAAATTCGAACTTGACGATGGAAAAAAAAACATAATGATACGTTCAACAACGCCATTTGTCGTGCATTATCCAAGTAATATGAATCCTATATTGATTAAATTGATTAAATTGGTATACTTTATTCTTATTATTGTTGACATTAAATTGACAACGTTAATTAATATTGTTCATTAATTTTTTTTGTTATAGTTCCACTGTTTTTCTTTCATCTACCATTTTCCTCGCTATAGTGAGGTGAAAAGTTGTGTATTTCGCTCGGCAGCAAAGTTGTTTTGCGTCTCGTGTCTTGAAACCCTCGCTACGCTCATGATTTTATCTTATACTACTTCGCTTGTTCAGATTTATTAAAAGCACAATACATTTAAATATATTTAATATTGAAAGCATGTATCGACAAGTACTCGCGTCAGACAACAACTTTGCAGCCTTGCATAACAAATAACTATTATATCAGACCGTATGAACATTTATATATGAACAATTAAAACAAGTTTATTCTTTACAGGAAAAATTTAAGAAAGAATTTAAGCAGCGTTTTACCTTCGGCCAGAAACCCAACAGATTTGCAAACGACAGCTTCGACGTAAGTTTCATTTATTTACAACGTTGCATTTGTACATTTAACAAACATTATAGCTATTTATCAGGGTGGGTGAAAATTTGCAGGATGGCCTGTCATACCGGACTCGTGTGTTATCATTTCGTTCGACCAACGACAGGAGCGCGTTCAACAGAAAATCGATTAATTTGCCCGTCGATCATTTGAAACCCTTAAACAAGAACTCCTGTCAATGTGTACGAATACAGAACAACTTCCGAGAAAATGGGTTTCGATCATCAAAAAACGATGAGCTGAATAATCAAAAGATTGGAAAACGAAACGTGAATATTCTAATCGACAAAAGAGACGTTAGTAAAAGGAGAACATTAGGAAATCGCCCTGTTTGTGACGACGACATGCCCATTGGCGACGAGCGTGTTAGTGAATTATACATTTTCCCTAATAGTAACATAGTAGAATTTAAAAATATATCCTACGATGAAAAAGTGTAAACTTATATACCTATATATTTATATACTATTCATTCTAGATTGTGAAGAGATATTTCAATTATGTGATGTTAAAGATATAATATGTAGACATAATAAAATAAAGCAAAAAATTATTGTTTATTTGTCTTTGCAATTTATTTGTATACACTTAGATTTTTAGCGAAAGTTTTGTTCAACAGCAGACTAATGCTTATACTAATCCTTATCACAAGTAACGTAATCGAAATTTTTGGCATAATTGAGTAATTAACATAATCTGGAATCAACAAAACGAGATCTACAACCTCCTATAAGAGTTTTTTAATCTTATTTATAATATAAATCTTAATATTAGATGTTCTCATTTTTACTGTTCCCATCTCGATACCTCCAATGAACATACGCCATCTTTATTTTTTGGTCGTCTTCTGTTATTTTTGTAAACAGCCATATGTATTTGCCTTAGTAAATAAATATGGCTGTTTAATATAAATGTAATCTTAGTTGTGCTCCCCGAATTCTGTGAAAAAAAGAACCAAGAACAAAAAAAAAAACGAATTTTGTAAAAAAAAAAGAAACAAAATAAAAACAGAACAGGTCCAAAAATTAAGTTGGCTTAGTGTTCATTGGAGGTATCGATCTATTACAAAATATTAACAATAAAAAAAAAATTAACAACAACACAAAAATTTAACAAATAACACAATAAGTTAAAATAAGTTAAAATAAAATTAAAATAAAATAAAACGAACGTACTATGGAGATAAGAAAACATTCGAGTTCGAAAAACGAAGCACGAATGACATGACAACGAAGCACACGACAAAATGGCGGCACAAAAAAATGTTTTCAACCCCGATTATGTCACCAGTATCACAAAATTTTACGACCCCAAACATAATATTTTATTGTAATTATTTTGTACAGACGGCAGCACATCAAACTACACATTGACAGATCTTGTTCCGTTGCACTGGAGGCTATATTCGAACAAAAGTGTATATATAGCCTGATGTGCTGTTGATGTGCTGTTGGAATGGAATTGCGTAAAAATGTACATTGCAAAATGTGAATTGTTCTGTTAATCAGATTACAGCTTGAAAAGAGTTGTACAGGTTTATTATCGTCAAAAATGGGAAATTACCATTTAAAATGTGTTTTTTGCTCGGTATGCGCTTTGTTTACATTTTGGATACCTAATTATGATTTAGGTATACTATAGTTCCACTTGTATTGTTAAGCAAAATCAGCGTTACTGTCATTTTTCAAAGAATCTCGAATGTTATCAAAATTCAAATGCGTTAGTTATGATAAGTAGGGCAAAATGAATCTGAAATTGTTTAGTATTCTTGGTACATTGACCATATTAATATACGTGGCATCTTTTTTGCTTATAGCTCAATGATCTTTTGTTAGAGCTACACCAAGGAGATTGCTATCTACGACATTCATTAAAAGCTACGTACCTAAATCGTGAGCGTTTTGAAGTACCTAACGGTAACATCCCCAGATAATTCATTACGTAGACAAAAAATATTCCTCCGCATTATGGATGTTATTTGTTAGGTCATTCAGTGAATCGAAATAATAATTGCTCAAGCGCTGTATTTTTAATGGAATTTTCATTCTTTGCGTTTGTGTTCTCAGATAGTTGTCTGGTTCAGCTTTTATCTTTTTTAATGATGTTTCCCTTTTTTCTTTTTTGATATTCATACTAGTAAACAGTCAAACGTTTCCGAAGCAATGAATTCACATTCATTTGTTGAGTATTTTTTGGCTTACAATTAGTAACAACTTATGAAATACATATAAGTTGACACTTATAAGTTTACTTAATTATCATTTACTAATTATACACTTTTACTTATCCACCAATCACCGGTGCAAAGTCTGAAGACTATAACTGCCTTGGTTATTGTTGGGTCTGAGACGTACATGTACATACAACAGACTGCCACTGGCAAATGTCGTGGGTGCTTTTAGTTTTCTCGTTTAATTAAACATTACGGAGCTGATGTTAAACAGGAGTTAATTATGTGTATGATATGATATTGTTGTTGCGTGTGTATGCAATAATCAGTGTTTAATTTATAAGGTTAAATGACATCACATACTTTGCACTGATCCCAAAGTTTTTTTTATATATAAGAGTGACGGAAAAGTAACGGGACGAACAAGTCGTGGTCCTGATAATAAGCGACACGCCTGTTCATAACAATTGCAGTGTCACTCATTAAACCGCAAAGATCGGAGATATGAGTTCTTATCAGTCCGTGAGATATAAGTTGAGAAGTCCCATGTGTCTGTAATTTCACCAAATCCAGTAACCAAAGCACTTGTGTCATGGAAATCGGAAACAACGATGGTACTATGTACACCCAGACCTGAGACAATACAGAAAAGTTAGTTTTTTCAACATTGATCCAGCCGGAGATCGAACCCGGGTCCTCAGAGATGGCAACATCACGAAAACTTGTGTGCAAGCCACTCGAACACGAAAGTCGTCAAAGGGTTATTTTATGAATAACCAGATTGAAAATTTATTGTAATGTATTCCGCAAGTTTAATATCATTGTGTAGGTATTTTAAATACATGTCAAAATATTCGACGATGTATATAAATATTGTTTATGATATTTAATGGAAATTAATATATTTAGGGGTTACTTTACAAAAATCCATGTTAACAAAAATGGAAGTAAATTAATTTGCTACTCAGCGAACCCAGGGAACATTCCTATATTTATATATTTTATTTAATGGAAATCTTCAGTACAGAAAGATGAGTATGAAAACTGCGAAGAAAATTCACGTCTTACTATTATTACAAAGCAGCAAAAGGGCTCTTCATAAATTTATGACCCTCACCCTACGCCCCTGCCACTTATTCAGAACAAATACCATCGCACATTGAATACCTACTGTACTATTTACCCAATGGGATGGTACCCTATTTCGACATTTCGATTTGACACTGGAGACAAGTGCAATTGTTTCTTGTACATTACGGTAGATAGGTAAGACTCAAATCAAATAGAAAAAGGCATGCTACAATCTAACCGAATGGCTCACGAAAGAAATTTAAGTAGGTTTTTGGTTTGAGAACCACAAAAGAAATATTATAAGTATTTACAGTGTATTACAAGTGTATGAGTACCAACTTTCATCGCTCTACTGGATACCAGATAGCTGTCCCTGTCCAACCTATGTAAGTAATTAAGCTTTTTCTGTTGTTATTATTATTATATTTCTGTAATATTGTGGAGTGATGGCTATTTCATTAATGACACTCCACGCTAGTCTATACTACCTCAGCACGAATAAAATTGTTTCCAGTCCATTTTGCTTCGGTTGAGCGGCAAGCACTGGCTTTATTTCCGAATTTATTTTTTTACAAACGAAATGAAAGTCATTTGAAAAATATCTAATAATAATAGTAATAGTATATCGTATACTATATCTAGTTCAGTTGATATAAAAATATTTTTTTATCACGGTAACGTCGTGACTATCTAGTTAGAACAGCCTTTCCCAAAGTGGGTGATAACGCCCCCTTGTGGGCGCTGCAGGCCTAAAGGGGGGCCGTAAGGGACCCAGAAAAAATATGGGGGCGTTGTGTAGAGGCTCAGGGGGAGATTTGTAGTTTCATCTAGGAAGATTCTTAGGGTCGTATTCTAGAACTCTACTCAATGCTCAAGTCAGGATTTGAGTATGGTTTAAAGCACTCGAAATTATACTCAACTCCCTGCCATTAGGGTCGTATTTCCAGTGCTTGTGTTTCAATTGCAATCCTGACTTGAGCATTGAGTAGAGTTCTAGAATACGACCCTTAGACATCGACTGAGCTCTTGACTCCCGACTTCAACTTGTGAACATCAACTAATATTAATTAAGAGATTGCTCAAACTAACTCGGTTCGATATTTCTCTCCGTGTAGGTTCATATATCTGTCCTGTTTTATTGAGTAAATAAAATAAAAATCATGTCAATCAGTCGCTCCGTTTCGAAATGAAAGTAGACACAAACAAAGAAATAAAAAGGCAACAGACACAGTTTCGCCTTTTTAATAGTTATTAGTATTCCTAGATAAGTAATTTTCGTAGATAATAGACCGCGGGCAATCATGTTTTAACAAGTTAAATAACCCGATTTGTGCATTCCTGTATCAATCGGCTGGTTCATAGAATACTTGTTCTTGCTTGTTGAGTACGATTGAACGTCGAATGAGATAAACGAGTTTATGCATGTTTGTCTTGTTCCTGTCGGTGCGTGCTGCTTATGCAATCCTATAAAAACAACGTAATATTTATTTTATTTTCATTTGCGGTTTCGCGCGCGTAATAGATAAGCAGTAGTTAACTTCAACACTTACTTACGTATTTCTCAAAACAAAACAATGTCTGAAGTAAAAAAGAAGAGATGGCAATACTGTGCGGAATATATTAAATTCGGATTCATTGAAAATCCCACAAACCCATCGTCGCCTTTGTGCCTTCTATGTCTAAAAACATTTTCGAATGAAGCAATGAAGCCTTCAAGACGGCAAGATCATTTGAATAAAATGCATCCAGATAAGAAAGACAAGAATGTAGCATATTTTCAAGACCTAGAGAAGAAGCATAATACTCAGCCAAGTGTAGGAAAACTCTTTTCGGCGGCTGCTAAGCAAGATAACGACGGACTTCGAGCTTCGTACAATATCTCTTTGTTAATTGCTCAAAAAGGCAAACCACACAACATTGGAAAAGAGTTAATTTTGCCAGCAATAAAGGAAGTAATAACTACTGTGCTTCATAAACCGGCCGCGGATATCATCTGAAAAATTCCTTTGAGTAATAATTCTGTGCAAAGACGAATTGATGAAATGGCTGAAAACATTGCAGAATTATTGTGCAATCACCTGAGGACTAGTCAATTCTCAATTCAGCTGGATGAATCCACTTTACCAACTAATGAAGTATTGTTGCTGTCTTACGTGAGGTTTATTAAAGATGAGAAAATATGTGAAGAACTATTGTTTGCTAGAAATTTAGAGACAAAAGGCGAA